AAAAAAAAATTAAAAATCTTTATTATTCAAAATTCCTAGCTATTTAGAGTTAGAAACCTCTAAAATTTAGAAGCTTTATCGTGTTGAAAAAAAAATTAAAAATCTTTATTATTCAAATACAGTAAAAAAAGTGACTATACTTTTAATTCTTTAATTAGTTAATTAATTAAAATAATCGTTAAATATATTCAAAAATAGCTAGTAGTATACTGTAATAGTATACTATAGTAGTTATTACTAACTAAATTGTTTTATTATTATTATATATATATATAGTTATATATTTTAAAAAAACTCCCAAAGCACAAACTTAGACTCTCGTAGAAACTTCTTTATCTCTTAATCTTCTTCCAAACGCTTTCCCAATCTCACTAAATATTATCAGTATTAAAAGACATATTACTATTTTTGCCCATCCTAATATTGGAACCGGGTTTAGTGAGAACCAATCATTGACTCCTGTTATTACGTAAAAATTATCATCATTATTATTATTGTTATAACTATGTACTAAAATTACAAGTTAATAAATGTATGCATTTTTTTTTTTTACCTGGAATATATATACCAATAATTAGTGCAGCAAATGATCCAAAAACTCCTATAATCATCCACTATTTCATAAATGGTAAAACATTAGTCAAAAAACATTATATCTAACAAAAAAAAAAAGAAAAATTCTTGGTAGATTCTTTTTTTTTACCTTGTTTCCAAATAAAGGAGTCCTAAAAAAGCTTTCATTTAAAGTTCTGGATAAAAACCCTTGAAACAATTGCATTGTAATTAACGTAGCAAATGCCAAAGATTGTGCGTCTTTTATATCCAAATGTTCTATTGATAATCCAATTTTGTATACTCCAAATGTTGCTAATGCCATTACCGTTGCTTGCATTAATAAAATTGAGGTCGTGTAAATGTTAAGTACACCTGAATTTGGATCTCTTGGTTTACGTCTCATTAAGTCTCCTTCTGCCGGCTCTATACCAAGTGACATTGCAGGTGGTACATCAGCTTATTAATTTATGAAAAAAATTAAATTAAATTAGTGAAATTAGTGTTAGAAATTTGAAATTATCATTATTATTTTTTTTTTTTAACAAAAAAATGAAAGAAAGAAATAAAGTACCAATTATATTTGCAAATAAAATCATAATAGTTGTAAACGGTAATTCCGTATTAATAATCGCACATAAGAACATCAATATTATTTCCGCTCCATTACAACTTAATAGATATACTATGAATTTAAGAATATTGTCAAACACTTGTCTGCCTTCTTCTACTGCTATAACAATTGTTGAAAAATCATCATTTGCTAGAACAATATCTGCTGCTTGTTTTGTTATTTCCGTGCCGCTTACTCCCATAGCAATTCCTATATCTGAAGCTTTAATTGCAGGTGCATCTAATAATATATTAAACTTTGTTAATATTTGAAACAAATATATATATATATTATATATATTTATGAAATTAATATAGTAAAGTTTTACCATTAACTCCGTCACCAGTCATGGCAACTGAATTTCCAAGGCTTTGTAAAGCTTGGACGATCTTAAGTTTGTTATCAGGACTAAACAATGTAATTATATTATAACAATATAATTGTTAATATTCAATTTTAAAAAAAAATCTTTTACTTGTTAATAAATATATTCTCACCTAACGCGTGCAAAAACACTAGGAAATGGATTCAGTTCTTTTATTGCTTGCTCGGAAAGCAGGTCAAACTCTGCTCCAAGAATTGCCAAATTCTATTGAATAAATTTTTATCAATAAAATTTTCGTTTAAACCAATTAGCTTTTTCATGAGTTAAAATGTAATAATACCGTATTCGGATCTCCTGGTTCGATGATTCCAATGTCTTTGGCTATTGCTGTGGCTGTAGCTATATGATCACCAGTTATCATTATAACCTGAATTCCAGCCTCCTTACATTTACGAATGGACTCTTTGACTGCTTTTTTAGGCGGATCTATTAGTCCAATTAGACCGATAAATGTTAAATCTGTCTCATCGAATAAAGGGTTAACAGTTGGAGTGTCTTGACTTTTCTCAGAATCATGAGAAAATCTAGACGACGAAGATATATCATCGTAAACTGGTTTAAAAGCTAGTCCAAGAACTCGTAACCCTCTCGATGCCATTCTCGAGCTTTGATCAGAAACAATGTCAATAAATTTATCTGATAATTCTTTAGGTTGGCATCCTTCTTTTTGTCCAAAAATTATATCAAATGGTAAATCTATTTCCGTTGACTCAACTTCTGGTAGATGATGTGTACATTTTCGAAGCAATTCCTCTGGTGCTCCTTTAACAAGTACTAGTTTTGCTGACTTTGAATGTCCTAATAATGTAGAATCTTCAATATTATAAACAACACTCATGATTTTACGTTCACTATCAAACGCCTTTTCATGAATTTTAACGAATCCGCAATCTTTCTCCCAGTAACCCTTTGACAGTCCACCTTTTTGTGCTGCGAGTGACAGTGCTACCTATTTTATTTAAAATGATTTAATAATTTTTTTTTTTTTAAAAAAAAATTAAGATTATAGATGCTAATTTACCTCAGTTGGATCACCAACTCCTTTCCATTCACCATCACTTTCTTGGGTGACAGAAGAATTATTACATAGACAAGAAACCATTAATGCAGTCATCAAATGTGGTGGCACACTTTGTGGATTTCTTGGAACTTCTTTAGGATTTAATGATTTGTAAACCATTTTATCCGATTTTTGCGATTGTATTGAGTCTTCATGTAATTCAAAGGCTTTTTGATTATGCTTTGCGGAAAGGAATAAAATATCACCCTCATTTGGATCCATAGAAGTTGGCTTTGTGAAGGTATATAATGAATCATTTGCAGTCCATAACTCTATTGGTCCCATTTTTCCTTCGGTAAGGGTGCCTGTTTTATCTGAACAAATAACAGTAACACTACCAAGTGTTTCTACAGCTGGTAAAGTTCTTACTATTGCATTACGTTTTGCCATTCGACGAACACCGATAGCCATTGTTACAGTTGTAACAGCCACTAGACCTTCCGGAATAACAGAGACGGCCAAACTAATCAAAAGTAACAATTATATTATATATAA